GTCTGTCTGACGTTAAAAAAAAACCCAACTCAGCCACTGATGACACCATGACAAATATGTCCCTGGATACTAACAAACACACACAAAAACTGATTCAAAATTGCTTATCCAGCAGTAAACACCTCTGTTTTAGTAACCGATTAAACCAATAAACCATCTTTCAAATCAGCTTAAGCCTAACCCGAGCCAAGTAAACAAATCTAATTTGAAAAGATTTAAGACAAGTCCTGGTCTGAGTGATGTAGAAAACAAAGAAGAATTTTGTAAGTTAAAACTCTGTTGGGTCACTCACCTAAAAGACTCCTGATGAAGAAGAAGAAGAAGGAAGAAGAAGGGTGAAACAACCCCTTCACTGTCTGTGCGTATCGTGTCTCACCGACTACCTGATCCACCACAGGCTGTGGAAGAGACAGAGAAACAAATGAGGCCAACTCAGAGCAATGCCACGGGGAAGGGTGGATGAGGCTGGGGTGGGGTGGGGGATGCAGAGCAGCCGAAGAGAAAAAAAAGTGAAGTGGTGCCGCCGTTCCCCATCACCCGGGAAACCAACGCTCTTTCAAAGTAAACGAACCAATGGGGAACACCAGCAATTGTGTTCAGACAAAAGTCACATGACTGCTCAAACACTACTCCCTATGCTGGGAGTGAGAAGGGAAGGAAGACAACAAAAAAAAACGTATAGCGTTGGGAGGGCCACTAAGAACACAGTAAAGTTCACAGTGAGGAAAAGAAAAACAGAAGTAAAATCGACACTGGCTGCATATTTGATCTGTTTTTTAAAGGTAAAAATAGAATTTTTAAAATCAAATCCATGCAAAAAAGTAAAATATATACATAACTGGCGATCTTATCACTCATATTCTTAATCTAACTAATAATGTAATTTTTAGGCAAATTCTCTTTTGATAAAATTTTAAAACCAAAACATTTTCTTCACTTCGTTTGCATACTGCAGTAACTTTTCCTTCAGGATTAATATTTTAGTGCTGCCCCTTGTGGTTTTATTGTTGAACGCAGATAGTCCATTTGGTTGATTCAACTTTCTTGTTGAGACACAGGAGTAGTTAAGAATTAGTGGTTAAGCCTCCCAAATGCAGATTTACCCAAGGCCCACATCAAACAAAGGGCTTAGGGATATTTATATGGATCTAATACAACTTTATCTTACTAGGAGCAAAGCTAACATTATTGATCACACTGTACAGCTGGCTAACCATAACAAATCTTGTAGATGTGACATTTCTCTGCTTCTGTGCAGAAAAATAACAATTTCAGAAACAAAAGCTTACAACGGGATGTTGAAGATGAATACTGACACAACAAAGGCTGTGAGTAATTCAGTGGCACAGGTTTCAACAACAGGATACAAAATTAGTTTGTGCTACAGACTATAATTTATTAAAGTTAGACATTAGCGTCGTTTCTGCAACTCTATATCCATCCTACAATGTAAATCATCTCAAATTCCACAGAGTGGAAGTGGCTGGTCACAGCACAGTGGAGGTGACTTCATCTTTCTCCCTAAATAGCAGAATCATGGTGTTGTTGATGTTTGATGTTTTTTTTTTCAACTTGGTTTGACAAATTCATCCGGTGACATTGAGACCTTTCTATGATCTTCAGAGTACAGAATACATTTTAACATGTTTCTCCAGTAATTACAATTATGATAAAAAATTATACTTTTCTGTTTGCTGTGTATCTTATTGTAACAGAGGCATCTGTCCAGGATAATAAATCACAGAGAAACAGGTAACACTGTGATGAATGTATCACAGAAGTACCCTGAAGTGGAAAGCCAATACTCTCTATGTACGTTTAACAGCAGGTTTCAACACGGCCTGGAATCAACCATCTTCCTTTTTTTCAGCGATGTACCATACACTTGAACACAATCATCTGTCTTGTAATACCTTGCTTCCACGCAAGTAAATGACTCTACATTCAAGCCTCATTTACAGAAAAGTCGTTACCACGAAAAAGGTTCACAATTGTCTGCACATGGTCTGAATGTGACCTGGAAGCTGATGAGCTTCAACAGGAAAATGTTTCAAAGTTAACATTATTCATGGGGATAAAACACACAAATATTAGACAGGACAAACTAATTTCCTTTTTGGACAGTGTGGTTAAACTTAACCTTAACTTCAACCTATGGCGTTTTGTGGTTATGTCACCATCTCCCATACATTTTTTAAGATAGTCTTCTTCTCAACTACCATCCATGATGTCACTTTTCTGGGTCACAGGGACACAGAACTTGCTAATTATATTTAGGACAAAATGACACAAATTGGATGTGAGTCAGAGGGCAGCAAAGGAGAATTGGAGCACTGCTCCCAAGTGGATGGATGGCTTTTCAATTGTGCCAACTTAGAGCATGCAGCGGGCAGTGTTTGGAAATGTATGTAAAGGGAATAAAAACAAAGCTTTATCAAGACCCAAACGAAAGAAAATATTATGATCCAATTTCCCAGGCCAACTTTTGTTTATTTTGTACAATTCTTTTTCTTCTTTTTTTTTATTTGTGAGTGCAAACTGCACTGAACTGATACTGCCAGTGAAGTCACAACAGTTGTCACGTGTGCATGTCAATGTCAAACAACAGGGAAAGGTTTAGAAATGTGGTCTATGTTTTAGCGTACTCTCAGTATGCACCTAATCTCCAAAATATAATTTTCATTCATATTGGTAGAAATCAAAAAAACAACAGCTGGGCATAAAGTGCTTTTCTGTAAAAACTTCCATGAAGAATACTTCTAGTTAGAAAAAAAAATCCAGATCCATTCCATTCATTTTCTCTCAGTTTTTGAGAGTCAAAAAATATTCTGTTCATGGAGAGTTTTGAAACATCAATGATTTAGTGTCTGAGGAGGATGGGCTGTGGGAGGGTGTGTAATTCTCAACTGGTAGACAAACCCTGATGCTCTCTGGTGTCGAAACAGCTGGAAAAATGTTATAGTGTAGGAGGCAGAATGAAACTAAACATTTCTCTCTTTATTCTAGCAATGTGTGCAAGAGTGCACTGGAAATGTATTCCTGGAGGTGAAATACTACAATGATATAAACTGCATCACAACACAAACTGTATACTTGTGTATACTTTTTACGTCAGTGACTACTCAGACACTGCAGGGAAGTCAAGGCATTCCACTTTACAAAGCACACGCACAGGACACTACGGCTAACATGGCTTTTATGCCCAATAAATGAATTAAAACAAATAGTTAAAAGGGAAGAAACTAACGCTACATTTAAATTTAGGGAACTTCTAAAAAGAAGTACATATTACCACATGAGGAAGAGGGGTCAATGATGTTTTTACGAGAGAATTAAATAAGGATGAAAAGGGCAGACAACTCAATACTGCATAAGTCAAAACTAGTCATAAAACACCAGTTGTATGGCGCAATAGCATAAATACACTGGTTAACCCCACAAATGTTTCTAAATGATAATAAAAAGTTATCATTTCTACTGCATTTTCGGCGGCTTTTTCGGCGAAAAGAAACGTATTTTTTCACGTGTTAAACTTAACAACTAAGAATCGTGCAATCCACCAAAGATTATGAAAGCCACCCTAACTGCATAAAACAATGTTAGTCCGTCACGTTAATACTTAGTTTTGAGCAGAAAACTCCAATATATTATTGGCTACCAGCCTGTGTGTGTTTCATGATTTCATTCCGGAACACGTGCAGCTCGGAGCTCACAATAGCGCAACCTTTTTATTCTTCAATTCAAATAACATAATTTAAAATATTAAAAAGCTTACAGTTGTTAGGTTGTCGAATGCAACACAGAGTTCCGCCCTCAGTTGAAAGACTCCACATTAAAACAAGTCTACTCGTAGCAAGATTATCCGGAAGAAACCGTATTACTGTTTCCGTTACGCGGTTTCACAGTAAAACTATTGACATGATATTTTAACTGGTCCAAATGTTTTCATTCAATACATTAATTATAGAAATAATTAAGTATATTTAGAGACTGACAAAGAAAGCATACATTTGACAACGTTAAATTTGCGCTTTGTAGATGTAAGCTTCTTTATTGTCCTCTTTCCTATCAGATGAGGTCACGTCTCTGAACTCTCTGCAACACTCTTTGTTCTTGTTTTTACTACCTTTTACCCTGCACTTGCTTCCCTTTTCTTTAATCCTACTGTCATCCTTCACATTTCTGTCCTTGTGAAGTCCTGCCAAGTCCAAGCAATATTTTGCAACCTGCCATCTCTCTCAGGTGCTGCAGAGCATATAATGCACCTGTATCCACCTCTCCCAACTCTCATGTGTTGAAACAGAGTCTTAAAAAGGTAAAAGTATCAATACATGATCAAACAGAAGGGAAATCATCGACGGGAAGCACCGGCTCTGTAACCCTTCATCCATCACTTTTGACACTGAGACAAAATGTTAAGCCAACAAAAATGTTTTCTGAGGACATATAGAGCAATTAATCAACGATCAATGATTAAATCAATGATTTAAGTGATGCTTATCTTTAATTAAATACTGAGGGCAATTCCTGCCAGAAGGTATATGTTTTTGCTGATAGTTTGACTGCCCCTCTGTTAGCAGCACCGCTTTAACAACAGGATAGATTTGGACTGAATATTTCAGTTATGTGGGTTGTGCTCCCTTAAAGAAATTGGATTTTAGTTGTGATAGTAATCTTAGCAAAGGCTTGTGTTTTCTGAAACTTCTAAAATATAACCGATCAAGACCAGTCCAAAATTCTCCATGAACTTCTGTTAAATGTATTAAAAAAGGTTTATTGGATTTTTAATCCAATAAACCTTTTTCTTTGTTCATTAAATCTGTATTGCTCCACAAAAGAAAAATCATCAAAAGGGAAAGAAAGCATAAAACTAGAACAGCTGTTTGTGACTTCCTTGTTAGGCAGTTTACCACACTTAAAGTGGAACATTCTTCTAATTACTCGCCAGTGCAGTTGAAGACGATGCACGCAATAGTAGTAGGCCTGAACACAGATTTCTATTGTAGGCTTGTTTCACTTCCCTTTCCAAGAATTAAAGGTGATTTCTGGCTCTACAATGCGATTGCACACATGACATTGAAAGAAAAGAGTGGAAAATGCATTGTTAGCTCTATCATATCAACTTCAGTATCACAAACAATTACAGATAGAAATACTGCACTAAGATAACATTGGATTCATTAAAGTATCTTATCTTGTAAACTTCAGGTATCTTGGAGATAGTAACACAGCTTGAGTGTACATGGTCTACACACAATACTACAGTGATTATACTCAAATTAATTTTCTATTTTGTTGCTTTATTGGCATTTCCATTCACAGTGTAACATAATCAATAACAATCAAGAGAATCGAACACTATCACAAAGGAAAATATCCAGTAGTACGAATTAGATATGTGAAAAACAGCCATCTTTTAAAAGGACTGAGGAAATAAAATATACACTCTACTACATGACAAACCCATAAAGATAATTGTATCTTAGCAAGTGGATTTTCTCTCTCTGCAGACTCCTTACATCAGCATCACAATAAACATAAAAATAATTAAGCTCAGTTCAGAAAACATCTCTTACATATCATTAAAGATTGTCAGCGTAGCTTCAGTCTTAAAGACGTCAACACAGAATGAGTTACAGAGTCTTTATACTGTAACTGCCAGTGAATGGAATTTTCCTCCCGGCAGGGCTCCATGGTCTCGTGTGGACTGTGCAAACAGCTTCTGCTGGGCTTGTCTGAACTTATTACGTATATGTTTTCAACTGCTGAGTCTGAGAGAAAAATGTGACGTGTATTGTAAATTATAAAACCCCTAGTGATTTAAAATAAAAGCCATTTCATCTAAAATAAATGAAATGCAGCTTATTAGATTTTTATATGAGATTCGCTGAGGAACTGACTGACTCACTAGTAATTTTCTGATTTAAGTGACAGTTTATGACAAACTCACAGCCCACAAGTGGATTGGGATCTACCAGTAGATTGCAAAGGTGCTGATAGATCATGAGAAATTGAGATAAAATTTAAAAATAATTAAATAAAATATATTATTTACCTGGTCATTTCAGTAGAAATCCCACCCCTTATTTAAGAGAATGGAAGGAAGATGTGAATTCAAGCATTAAATTGAAATCTTCACTCATCATCAAAACGCCTGGTGGATGGTACCATTAACATAAACATGTCATGGTGATGGTGATCCTGTCCATCTCACTCTTCTTCTCTTATACCATTCCTGTCTTCCCACTGTTTTTCATATGGGATGGGTGCGGTGGGTATGTGGGATATGTCTCGACACCATTTCATGGAAAAGACAATATGCCTTTTCTTGCACAATCACCAGCGCAGTCAGAGAACAAAAGGGTCAGAGACTCTGCTGTGGCCAAGGTCACCCCAGGTCACTGCATTTGATTGACATTATGGTCACTTGAGAGTTAGGTATAACCGGCTTTGACTGATGTCCTCAGTTTGTCCGTGTGTAAGGCTTTCATTATGGAGGGAAACAAATAAGCACACAGGAACTGTTAGCAGTTTCAAAATAAAGTTAGTCACTACCAGAAACAATCATGAATTTTTCAGGTTGAATTGCTGACAAAGCAGGTTCAATAAAATATTCTCAAGTGTTAGAGCAGACAAAGAATGATTTTCTCTGAATTTAACGTTAGTGTCGTGTGGTCGTACATCACTTCCTTTCACAAGTAAATAACACTAACAATATTCAATGCTAGTTCTGTAGAGACATGGTCCTACAAAACGTTTCCCTCATTCCCTCTCTGATTTAACCTTGTCTCGGTATTTTATTTACTTCAATTTTATTGAAGAACGTGTAGGATGAGACTACTGAAAATCACTTGTGAGTTACAACTCTTCTAAAGTAGTCTTTTTTCTGTTTCTTGCAAACAATTTAACAGAATGAACTCAGACGGCCCTTATATTCTGGTTACTCAGAGTATAATCACTGCAGTATTGTGTGTAGACCATGTACACTCAAGCTGTGTTACTATCTCCAAGATACCTGAAGTTTACAAGATAAGATACTTTAATGAATCCAATGTTATCTTAGTGCAGTTTACACACGTTCTATTCTAGCAGAAACTTGTTCTGTTACGTGGAGCCGTTACGTGGTTGAATCTTGTAATTGGCTCCCACCAGGTAAAAGCATCACAGCTACAAGTCCAGATGTGAGAACTAACCCTTAAGAAAAATTTGAAGAAATCGTAATTGGACACACCGCCCAACACAAAGCCTCACTTCACTTCACTTCACTTCATTCCATTCACTTCCATTTATATCTTTTAAGGCGTAACAACACCAGCGACATTGGAATGTGTCTCCTCTGAAAACACCTGACAGGGAGTGGGGGGGAGGGAGACTCCCTGAGGGGGAGGAACTCTGAGAGGAAAATGCTGGAAGGATCTATAGTCATGTACAATGACAGGAGTTACTGAAGGATAAAGTGTTACATAAGAGCTGTCTTATGGTTAGGGGGGTGGGTGCGTGCTCCTGCATGTACAAAGGCATTACGCATTCCTACACACAGACACAAACGCACACTTTAAACAGTAGTATTAACAACGCTGCCAACATTTAATGACTCCCTGCGTTTCATTACTTTGACTCATTTATTTACATCCTGTTCCTCTAAACTGATGTGATGAATTATAAAGAGGTGTGTGTTTGTGTGTGCCCCGTGCATAACATCAGGCTTGTTTGGAAATGTCATACATCGCCCCGATGGTGAAAATTCCCAATTGCATTGTGATGTAAAAATGATTGTGACTCATTCAACACAAATGGCGATTCACATTACTTCTTGCCCTGAAGAACTACTAAACTGTTTTACTCCAAGCTGTGTCCACCCACTCAAACAGTCATATTTATAGGTGTGGTGCAGAATTGTACAAATCTGTTTTATATTGCCCTTTACAAACAATAAAAACAAACCCCATAATGATCAGAAAACAGAAGATTTTTTTAGTCCATTATTCCTGTTATATTTGCTCAGGAGTTTCAGGTTAATTCTGCAGTCATTCACACTCATTTTGTTGTGAACACAGTCGAAGCAAGAGGTGAATCTTAGTTCAAAGAAGGTGGATTTAACCGCTGTAAATTCAAGGAGGAGAAAGTGTTGATAGATTATAAATTAACGTTTAGAAATAGCGCCCTCATGCGGCAAGGTTACTTTACTACCTTATTGCTTTATTAGAACATTCGTCACCTCAAGTTTTTTTTGTTTTTTTTTTTAAGATTCCAGTTAAAGGAAATAGCTGTTGTGTTATTTTGTTTTTTTAAACAAGTAGCTTTTTAATGATCGAGACACTTTCACCTGAGAAATAAAAATATGTGAGGTATTCATAGACAATAACATTGCACATAAATGCAATGTTATCTGTCAGAATATCAGAGATTATGTTATTATTTTCTCCAATTACATTCATAGATCGCTATCGTGATCCATGAGGAATGCTCAAGTGTCAGTGCCTATCTCTTCCTGAATGGTCTTTGTGTTACTTCTCTGTCAAACACATTGAGCAGCCTAACATTAACGTCCCCCTGGTGTCAGTGTTGTTGTGAGGATCCACTGTGGGTCCAGTGAAAATGGTGCTGCTGATGTATCTGTAGAGCAGCCCTCGCAGTGTGAGGACGACTCATTGCCAGTTTGTCCCGGAGCTTGGGTAACTGGGGAGGATGACGATGCTGACACGGTAATTCCATATCCAAACTGGAAAAAAAAAACACTTCTTTAATCTTCTTCAATCTTTCTGTCAAGTGTGCTAATTATTTAAAGATAATATATATATACTGTGTGTGTATATATATATATATATACATATATATATATATATATATATACATATAATGGACTTTATTACGGCTGTGATACTTAACCACAATGAATGTGGGAATTATTATTATTTAACAGGGATTCCCAATATGTTTACCAGGATCTACCTGTAGATCATTAAGGGACCACTGGTAGATCATGAGCAACTAAAAAAAAAAATACAACTATACATATAGTACTGTGTAGTAATGATCATATAGTGTAAAAATTGAATAATGCATTTAATGCATCTTTGCAAATATTAACAGGAAAAATTGTATTGAAAACATTGAGTATAAATGTCGGCTTTGTTGTAACCATACCCTGAATCGATGCTTCCCTCACTAGCGGATGGCAGGTTTGGTATGTGAATGTTTGTCCTGGTCACACTACAGACTCTGGGAAGTAACAGGTGTGTGTCTCCCACTGTTGCTGCGGTCTTCAGGCTGCACACCTCTTTGTTAGAATTGGGTAATTGTTCTAAATGGACCAGGCTTTGTCGTAGCCTGCGTGCACGAATGCTGTGTGGTTTGGGAACACCAGAAGGTGGCACTGCTTCAGCTTGGACAGGAGGAGAAGGAGACAATCTGACATCTGGGGACAGGGACAGCTTTGCTATATCAGGGATCAGGGCTTCTCTGTGACACAGATCTGAAAGCAAAGTTATGACATTGGGCTCAGGTTTGGTTGGACATTTTGTATACTATATATATAAGTGGCCAAAAATGAACCAGAACATCGTTAAATATTGAATCTCTTAATAAATTCCCAATCATTTTCAAGGTATTTCTGGATCAATGATTTAGTGAACTATTACCTGGGGAAAGAGACGGACATGACAAGTCTGGGGTTTTATTCAGGTTGTCATGCTGCTTCTCTCCATCGTTGCTATCACTCTCTATATCACCATGATTGTCTTCATCATTATAATCATCATCATCATCATCTGCTTCTGCCAAATTACTGTGCTGAATTGACAGAATCTGTGGTAATCTTTCCGTCTCTATGGCCTGCAGACGCCTGGAAAAATGAGGAGTGATTTACTGGGTAGAAGGAAGTCCAGAACTGGCTTTTACATAATTGGGTGTATGTGGTGATGTAACCAGGAGGGGGAAAGAGAGAGCTGGAGGAGGGAGGAGGTACCTGCTGTGCTTCTCCCTCCATGATTTGAGGTCAGCAATCACATCAGAGCGATCTCTAACATCAGGCTCCTCAGTGTCATAGGTGTGCTCCGGTACATGGATGGGCAGGTCACGGGGGGTGAAGGTTGATTTAGTGGGCGCGGTCTGTTAGTCAGAGATGAGAAAGGGGTCAAGTTACTATGAATATGGAATATTTGTGTGATTCCATTGAATCAAACTGTTATTGATCCCACGCTGGGGAAATAGATGGAAAAAAAGATAACAATGAAAAAGATAGAAAGAAGAAATGTTGCAGTTACTTTCTGTATTTAGTACTCTGCACTATACAGTACGTATTATTCACAGTTGAGTTTTTTATTACATTTGAACAGTGGTGCCAACTTTTTAGAATTAATTTATAGATCTAAATAATGCGAATGAACATAATTTAATGCATACATTTTATTTAATGAAACGTGTGCATTCAGGGTACAAATATAAATTACGAACCAATCTGTGCAACAATTTTGTGCCACAGACGTGTTAACCAACCGATTTTAATCCCTAAGATAAATGACATCTTTGTTACATTTAATGTCTGTAATACGGTATTCATTTGTTAAGTTACTTATTAAGTTTGTAAAAAATAATATTAGTAATTGTTGATAATAACAATAATAATAGATATTAAACGATAACACTGTGAATGAAAGCGAACAATTTTAAAGAAAGAATTGAAGTAATATTTCTCTACTTTTGTAAGTAACTATTTCATCCCTATTATAATAATGATATAAAACTATTAATTTCTTAACCATTTCTAATAAAATAATGATTTCCTATGGATTTCTATAAAAAGCTGACTTGAAAAATGAGTATGAACACTTGGACATTGACACAGGTTGACCAAAAGAATTGTGGATTCAAAGTTAGTCCCACCGTAATAGGAGAAGCTAATAAAGTCTTTATTTAAAAAAAAAAAAAAAAGAAGCTGATCAGCCATATTTTACATACCCTTAACTTCTCATGCTTAGCTCGAAGAGCCTGGACTGGGTTTCCACAGAACAAGATCTTACCAGCTCCTGCAAAAATCAACAGATAAATAAAATAAATTATCAAATGACTGATGACAAGCTCTGCAGATAACCCAGACTATCAGGATGACCTTAAAAAAAGTGCCTAACCATGTGTTAGAAAGCTGGTGTCATCCACTGACACTCGATATGAGTCTGCAGAACCAGGTCTTGATGCAGACTCTGTTGCTGATGTGGGTCTGGATCCTGTGCTGGGTGTGGAGGGGAGTGGCCAATCGAGAGGCCAAGCTGAGCTCGGTCTGCTGTAAGTACCTACACTCTCCACTGTCTCCACTGCAATAACAGGAACAGTGGATTGAATGAATGGCTGATTAAATATACTGCTGTCAATAAAATGTTTGCCTTCACCGACTCAAAACAACATATTTATACACACACCACTGTCTTCTGCAGCACTCAGAGTGGAGGCACAGTCTCTGATGATGTTCCGCAGAACATCCCACTCTGTTCCCATGATGCTGCTGCAGATTGTCCTGTCCTCCTTTTCCTCTTCCTCCTCCTCCTCCTCAACACTCAAATTGTCTAGGTAACACAGCTGAGGGAGCAACTCCCGCACTGCAGCTCGATATTTGTAGTCTGCTGTCTAGGTAGAAGAAAAAAAATAAAGGCGACATTTTAACTTGAGCTTTCTCCTTGTTTCACACAACAACAGTTGTTTGAGTTTATCGTTACGTCGTAGTTCCAGTTATGACTCATCCGTGTTACCAGTAAATTGTGTTAGATTTAGAAATTGCAAAATATAATTTACAGAAACCAAAAAAGCAAAGCGAAACCACGATACACTTTCTGAAAACATTTACTGGTTGATAAAAGGACAAAGAAATAAACTGACAAACTTAAGCCAAGGTATTCTTGCTGAATTACAGACTTGAGCCTCTTTTTCTGCAGCAAATTCCCTCTACGTTTGTGAAGCTCTTTTACCCAAATCAAATCAATCCTTGCCTTGTTCCACTGAAACATCGATGCGATTCCTGAAAAGATGTCATCTGCCTCCTAATCATTGTTCCCATCACAAACAGGCGGATTCTTTAAAGGTACTGATGTGCCCTCATGTCACCACAGTTACCAGTGGCTTTTGGACCAGACATCTGTCTCATCTCAAAACAAGCATAAACTCATCCTGTGTCCTCGCAACACAGGACGTGTGCTTTTATCAACTTTCAGTCTGTCTCAACTGAGAGCGGGCCAGAAATCTCTATAGCCTTTGGCACATTAATGATGTATGGCTCGTTCTTTTACATTCTCACCAAACATACTTAATGCATCATCTGACTGTTCTGAGCCACAACGAGTTGCTTAAGTAGTTCTACGCCTTTGTGGCTTTGTCCATCACAGTAACATAGTGGTTTTTAATGTAAAAGCAGCCTAAAGACTTCACATTCATACACAGCCAGTCCTTGGCATTAACATGGATTTTTCTAGGTATCTGAATCTTTTCACAAACCCCAAATTCTTTGCTGTTTTGCTGTTTTGTTTTTAACTCCTTAACTATTGTTGTGTTCCATCCTCATCAAACCTGTGGCCACTTCATTTACTTCTGTTTAACAGAAAGTCAGTCACAGAGGGGGGGGGGAGTGGGCAATCCAGTGCACTGGGAATCAAATCAGACCAGCTCTTCTAAAAACTGCCCAAGTGCAGTGAATGAACTGGCAAGGATGAAATGAAAGAGGAAATGAGGGGGGGGGGCTGTGTAAGAGGAAGTAAGCAAATATGTGTGTCTATGAGATGGAGAGAATAGCAGAGGAGAGAGAAGAGAGCAAATCCAGGACCTTCTCGGTCAGTACAAAGCTCAGACCTAATGCATATTCCACTCAGCTTCTCCCTTCATTGTCCTAGTTTCCTAATTAATGCTTGGTCGGTGGGTGTAAATAAACACATTCACACTGACCCGAAAAAATAGAAGCACTCTGTGTCCTAAATGTAAACTGGAGAAGAGGACATCTTCTCTGCGCGTCACCGAGCTAGCTATACATACTCTAGATAGATAGATATAGATATGCGTATGTCTGTTATATGTTTATTCTGTCCTTTGAGTGTGATTCAACTTGCTGCCTTGATAAGAAAGCTTGCGTTTTTGTTTTGGTTTTTTTGTGCAGGGAATTGCAGGTGTGTCAGCTCAGTTGAGGTTTTTCTCAGCGCTCATATTCACATGTTATCATCAAGGTTTTTTGTTCAGTAGTTGTCCATAAAATTGTTACCAAACCTGAGGGGCGGTTGCTGCAGGGCGCACACATACAGGATTCCCCTCCAAGGTGAGTGTCTGTAGTTTTCGGCACAAGCCGAGATACTGAATTTGGACTAAGTCCTCCACATCGTTTCCTTCCAGGTCCAACAGCTGCAGGTTCTCCAGCATGCCGACGTGATTCAAGTCCGACACATGGTTGTAGGCCACATACAGCTCCTACGGTCCAACGCAGGTAGTGTTAGTTAGCACACAAAGTAGGCTGACAGAAAATGTAATCATTTCCTCATTCCACTGTGGGAAACTCCCACAGTAACCAGGGTTAAGATGAAAATTAGTCATGCTGTATTACTTGAATTTAATAGGACATTTTTCCATTTTACTGAATGTTTTACTTTAAGTGCAGTAAAATTGAAGATGCCGTCAAGGTCACACAGGCAGCAGCGGCACATCCACAGCACCTGCAGGTGGGGGAGTGACATTCCGAGTTCTCTGAGGACACAGTGGCATATCATTAGGACAGGAGATCAAACAAAAAACATAAAATAAAAGGAATGTAGGACCAGAAGTAGAAAATGGGTTTTATAGAACTGTGTAAATTGCAAAATATGAAAAAGTCATCAATCCACAGAAGATAGAAATCATGTTCTGTTTTCTAGAATGCAAATCAAGTACTTGTCCCTGCAGGAAACCCAGACTCTCTGAGTGTCTCTCAGAATAATCTACAACCCTGTTACAGCCTCTTAGCTGCAGCTCTCGTAGCCAAGAGCAGGAGAAGCTACCAGAGGAAGTGCATGTACAGCTGCTACACTTTTTTTATCACAACGTATGTTTGCTTTTGACACTGAAGTGGTTGCAGTCAAACCAGTAGGACAATCCTGGGAGAAATGTGTCAGTTTTCCCTGGAGGAATTTGAAATCTGATATTCCTCATCCCCTCTGTATTCCATTGTCCACCAGATGGGTGAACCTGTTTCTATTAATGATTTTTTTACGTGCGACTACAGACAACATCTGCTGGTGTCTGGTTTACGTGCTTCAACATGCAGCTGACAATGAAACAGCGCTGGATATCTGTGTTGCAACCCCAACAACAGCTTTTTTTTCATCTAGTCTTCAGTCTGTTCGTTTCTTAAAAAGCCTCGTGACAAATATTAAGACAGTTGTAGACGATTACACTGTAGTAATCTCCAATTAACTTCCCTAATATGCAGTCTCATAAAGGATTTCTTCGAGACATGCTAGCATAAAAAAAAATACAAACGCCGCTTCCAGATTTTTCTTTAATCTGTCAATCACTTTTAGGAACTAATATTGTCCTGCTTGAAAGACGTGCAGAATTCTCAGGAAAATCTCAGGGGGGCTGGTACGGTGCAATGTGATTTGGGTGGCTTTCGTGGAGACTGCTGCCCAGTAACAGATAAGCTGACGAAAATGGATGGATGGATGGACCTTGTTCTATATCAGTGGTTCTAAAACTGTGGTTGGTGTTCCGCTTGCGGTACATGGGCTCGCCATTGTGCTATTGGGGGATGGAATTCCCAAAGGACCAGGTCAGTTGCTTAATTGTTAAATACAGATTTCACCTGCTTTTGCTTAGCATTTTATTTGTGTGTGTGGTTTCAAAACAGAATAATAGGCTCTGCAGTTACATACACACACCAATATGTTTTAAAGACAAACACTGTTCCATGTATGACAACGACAATTTGTTTCTGAAAGCAACAACGTCAACCCAGTCCATCTGATGTAAATTAAAAAATGTGTTTTTTAAACATAATTTATAGACATAATTTTAATAGTTCAAAAGATTTTGTTGGTAAAATGTCTACTTTACCTGTTTGCCAAACTATATGGCCTGCAAATGCAGTGTGAATTACTGTATACTGCCATCAATAGCAAACGTGTGGTAAAATAAGGATCATATTTTAGTTTTGGTTTTGTGACTAGTACTTGAGGATTTTTCCATCTGGCTGAAAACCTGTTGCCTAACAAGAATGCAGGGAGGCTAGAAAAAAAGCACCATGTTATGCAACTCTCCACTTACCTTACTGACATTATCACACTTTTGTTCAATTTCAGTTGCACCAGGTTGGGCAAGAAGGCACCTAGAGAGCAGACAAACCCATTTGCGTCACAGTCGAGCAATTATTTGCTTTCATTTCTTACTTGGCTTCCTGCCTCGATTGCAAGTGGTCTAAATAGTTGACTATAATTATCCTAAAGAAGTACCATACGTAGCAGAGTATAGTGACAGAATCAAACATGTACATAAACCAATGTCCAATCCTTCCATCCTTCTCTAATTTACAACAGGACAGGATGAGGCCTATAGTGTTGATGAACCAGGATATGTCCAGTATTGCACACAGATTGTCTCACTGACAGGAAATGTACTACATCTACTGTAAAGTACACAACACCAATGTTTTGTTTAAATGATCAATTAAGCGTGAATTAAAAATTGCTTTTGCTTTTAGGATCACTGTTAAGTTACAATAAAAATAAGCAGTGGTGAACAGAAACAGTTCAACTCTCAAAAGTGCATCTTACCGATGTTACCCAGGGAGTTTTCTTGCGTGTTTATGGAGAACTCCAGTGACGTCACACCAGACAGGTCCCAAGTCCCACACATTGACTCCTGGGAACATTAAATTAACAGTACAGTACTGACCTTGGACTTCACTTGTCTTAGTTTTTATTATTTAGTTATGATTTCAGACACAAGGTTTGTTTGATAAAACTTTGTCTTTGACACATTCTGCTCAGTCGTTTAACAACATGGTGTTCAATGTGTGGCGTGCGTGCACACAGGCCAGGGGTTTACCAACCTATCTTGACATCACAAAGTTCTGGCGACCCCAGAGACATTTTACATTGAGGTGATCACAGCTGTCAATCAAGCTGTGCCAGCTCAGATATTTCTATATGTTGCATTTTATTTAAACACCCTTAAAAATGTACATTATATTCCATTGCCGGAATTTAAATTTTTATTTTCAATTGCATCACTGGTGTTCTAACTACACAAACTACTGTATATACCCATTGTTGTTTAAAAAAATTCAGGGGCCTTTTGTACAGTAGACATTGCACCTCTATGTATACTTATTTGGGTCTGTAATGCCTTTTAAATAAGTAACATCACCATTAAAAAAAAAAAAACATAATCTGCTGCAAATTTACCAGCTTCTCAGGGCTGAGACAGAGTTCCAGAGCTGTCTTGGTGTCCTCACAAGCCTTTTCGGCAGGGGTGGGGTTAATTTGTCCTGATCCACTTAGTTCAGTCACCAGGACCCGTGCTGAGGCAGGCTGGACCATGTCAATCATAGTGGTATGAGAACAACTCATACTTTACAGCACCCTGACAACAAATATACAGTCTTCATTCAAGGGTGTAAAAAAATGTGGGCGCACAGTAGAAAATAACAAAAATGTCTGTGTCTAAAGGATGAGGAAAATCAATCCCTCAACCAAATTGCAGGTTGCATTATGTAGTCAGTTAAGTACGTGTTTTTACAAAAACAAATTTTCTATGTGTCAAACTAACATATGTTATTGTACCAGGTGAAATAGCTACCACAGTGAGGGCAACACATTTTAATATTACTAAAAAGTATAATTTTGGCATCATTATAAAGTGCAACGACTATAAAAAGTTCATAACACTATCTCGATATCAACGCTTGATACAACATGACTAAATGAGCTAACAAAGTAGCAATACTTGGCAGTTTTACAGACGAACTAATGTTAGAAGTATGTAAAATTACATCTTGAGCGAATCAACAAATATGCAATCCGAAGAAATGCATTTTTCTTCGATTATTATTCGAATGGTATATGAGTATAGATTACCTGTTGCAGTCCAGAGATATGGACGCAAAAACACAGCTTAAAAGTTTACTTGACAACCACAGACGACTTCCTGGATACAAAAGCCCTAAGGTTTTATGGGAAATGTATTTTTTACATCCGGTAACGGAATCAGAACGAAATTTCGTCGCATACTGTATATATAGTTATGTAAAATCAGAATTACCCAACTGAGTTTATTTGACTTTATATTGGATTGCATTTGTAAAAAAAAAAAAACAAGATTCCCAATACCGTGCATTTAAAATGTGACAGGATATGGTGTCATGATTGGATACTGTCATTAGCCTCAGTCACATTTTAGATTTTTGGGAAAAAAACATTTTTGACAAACACATCACATTTTTTATTTAAACAATAACAACACAATTATAACCAGATATGTGAATAAGATAAAGGTTCAGCGAATCAATTGCGAATCAATAGTAAAGCTAATTTGGTAAGATCGGAATGTATCCACAACATGACTTAGGTAATTACGCTATGAGTATAACGGTATAGTTCTATGCCCACATGATGTGGCTGTTGTATGTTTTAAGGAAGGAGCTTCATGTGGTTATTTTCCCTATAGTACTTGAAGGCAGCACTTCATGCACAGTAACCGGGGCGGTTCTCCGTGTGTGATGGAGCTGGGCGTGGGCTCCCTTCGCTCCTCATCCCCTCTGCTCTCAGTGGAAGCACATTGTCCAACGGCGGGCTCGTTTTGTCCACAGCCAATGAATGCTTTGGTGCATTTCTCCAACTCCAAGAGAACAGTGCGAGTAAAAGAAGACGCTGCAGACATTTGTCAGAGAAAACGTTTGGAAACAGACCAGGAACATTTAATGTTCTGCTGAGCAGAAGCGGAGAGGCGACAGAGTTAAAGATTCTTCTTCCACCGCTGCTGCTTCTTCCCGGCAGACGAAAACATTGTCGCTAATCAGACCCCTGCTTGTTGTAAGTATGCAGAGAACATCCATGTGTGAAAAATACACAAGCTTTATTTTGAATTTACGGACATTTTCCGTTGATGGTTATTCATTTTTCGAAATGATTAAAATTGTGGGCCACCGCTGGAGACAACAGACTGTTGTTGTAACGAGTTAGCGTTAGCTATCAGAGCATTTGAATTAAATTCAACCGGTGAGTCCTAACGTTATGTGTTCAACTTAAACACCAGACTTGCATACAGGTATGAGGAATTACATCGCTTATACATACCGTCTGTACTTTTGTTTTTTAATTTTATTTTACAGGCAATAGTCTGTGTTGATAGTCCATTTTGAGTGGGGTGTTAAAACTTGGTCATGGAGGAATATGTCATGAACACCGCTGTCAATTTCCTCCCAATGTCTATGATTAAAAAACAGTCAAATGGACGTAGCAGTGAAATATTAACTTCCTGTGTGGTGTTTTTTGGCACGAGGACAGTAGAGAGAGCTGCTGCTGCCGCCGACAGTGGCCGCACTGGCGAGCAGGGTGACGCCCCGTCACACTGAATAAAAACCAATGTATCACTGCGGAAGTCAGATTCCATTACAATGCATTTATACGTATGTGGCAGAATGATGATGCTTACGCTCATGACGAAAAAGACACTGATGTCAACCACATCGTACTTCAGCAGCAACGTTCAAATAACCCCAAGAAGACGCCGGTCTGTGACATAATTCATTGTATTCGTTATGAAGTAATCAGCCAACTTATTGCAACGCAGACTTCTTCACTTCTGTCTGTCACTAACCGCTGATACTGTCGATACATCTGACACGTTGCATGAAGTCGTTTAGTTTTTAACGTGCAAAACATTTGAAATATCAAAATCCCTTATTCCATAAACCTAATATGACAGTTTTAATCAGTGAGCTGTCCGTTTTCACATTTATTCACATTTAGAAGCTTAAATTCAAATCACTTGTTTTTATTTTTGCACAATTGCCACCTGTTACCTTCTTTATATTTTATATTTTAGTCATTTTGGAATTACTTAAATTATATAAACCTATTTTAATGCTGTTGAAAAGATGGATAAAGAGGTATATCTGGACGTTTTTATTGTTTTTACTTTAAAATAGAATCATAAATGATACATGTTTTCTATGTATTTTGTAAATCAGGAAAGTCTTTATTCTCTTAGTTTTACTACAGCTTCCCTTTATCCTCTGGCAACTGTGGTTTTCTATCACTTTGCTTCCCTTTGTTCATGTTTTATGTTCAGCCTATGGTGGTGACTTAAGTAATAGTGTATCCATTGTTCACGTATAATTTGTTTTCTCAAAAAGTTGGTTAAATTGTTATTACTAGTTTTGGAAAACTAGCTGCAAGTTGGTGTTTTTATGTACTTTTATTCTCCATGGCATGAATAGAGGAACGGTGCAATATATTATTTTGTAAACCCCCCTCAAAAAAGCACTTCAATTACATTGAGTGAGAACTTATGAACTGCTCTAAGGAGGATTCTGTTTCTTTTAATTTGTGTAGATTTTCACTTTTTAATATTTTTCATATGTTTTGTTTTTGGTTGTTGGTTTTTTTTTCATTTCAAAAACTTTTAAATAAAATATACACCCTTTCGTTAATAGCACTAATTTGTAGGGTCAGAGTTTATATTGTTTCATGTCTATATGGAAGCATTATATGTAATTTTTACCCTGGCCAAATAGACTGGGTTGAAGAAATATAGTCAGAAAGAAGGAGCGTTTGAATTTGTTACCACTGTCTGTAGTCATTGTCGAGACAGCTGGAAAACAGATGAAATGTGTCCATCCACTGCTTGGAGTGTGATGTTTAATATGTTGTCTCTTTTTCAGCACATCTGTAGTCTGGTTGCAGTCCGGCTACAGGCCACATGAAAGTGCTATGATTTTTTAGGCAATTAAAACCTAAATGCTGCATTAATCTGTAGGGTTTTTAATTTTCAGCCTGGTTTTGGTGTCAGTCGGGACAGACCTGTGTGTATGTGAGGTTATTGTGTGTGTTTTGTATGGTTTTCTTTGTTATCTTTGAAAGTTTAATTCTTGCTTTTGTTTACATTTACTACAGTCTGCCGTTTGATGCCTTCTGTGCTTTCACGTGTTCTCAGACCAAACACCAAAAATATTTGGATAAGATAAATCAATTACACAGAGTAAAAAAAAAAACATTTTTTTGATTGTTTGTTGTTCAACGATTAAAATTTATAGCCCATGCAGTTGTTTAGACGTCATCTGACCTTTTCATCTCTGCCGTTGCACCACCTCTCCCATCTAAAGGATGACCCACTCTGTAAAAAGGTCACTGTGCCTGTTAGAGCAGCTGGTTAAAACGTGCACACCTCGGCTGTGTTACATTCACCTTAAAGCAAGGTTTTGTTTTTGTTTAGAACATTTTATATTTCAAGCCTTCACAATTTTCAGATAGGCTTTAAACCTTATCATTGCATCACTAACTCATGTTTCCCTGGCTGTTGAGAGCAGGATAGTGTTTCTTTTCATCCTCATCAATATCTCTGCTGGCTTAGATGCTGTTTAAGAGGATGATGTCATTGGTGAGTAGTAGGAGGGTGTGGTGGGCTATTGGGGCTCTAGGATGGGTCTCGGAGCCTGAGTATTTGACTGTGATACATCCCTAGAGAGGGTCTACTTACCATCATCACTCCATTAAAAATCTATTATCTCTGTAGTGGACATGCAGCACTGCCAGTATGGATTCTTTAACTATAATTAAGCACTTTAATGGCAGAAGACTGCATGTCAAGAAAGATAGACATTCAAGTCTCGAGTTTTCCTTTTCCATAATGGTTAGAGTAATGCACTTGTTTTACAAGTTACAGGGAGTCACTGGAAAAGAGTTGAGAGATGGCTATTGACATTTTTTTAATTTTTTTATTTTCCAATTTACATGTGAATCCCCTCCCTCCTGTGGACATGCATAAGACTAGCTCTTTTTTCCTTTGCCGCTCTCCTCCCATCACCCCAGTCACTGCTGTTTGCTTGCGACCTCCATAAGCTGTCATGTAAGATTATCCTCATGGCACAGGCAGGGATCTAAGGTTTCAAAACGAACTGTTAATTTCCCAGACTGGAGGTAGCATGCTATAAATAACCCTGAAACATAGGAATACTAAGTACAGTAGTTCTAAGTGATTGAGATGAGAGCTGCCACTGAGTTTGATAGTCTGGCATAGACGGCCTGCCAGCCTGTCAACATGCTTGCAGTATTTTTGTGCAAATTATAGTGGGATACATGTCTTACTTAAGTAATAATTATGTTTGTAATATCAGTTTTGTTATAAACAGTTAATTGAAATACAAATTTACTTGGTTATCTATCATTGTGGCATTCAGTTTTTACTTTTCTGTTATTGTTTTTGTACCAAATAAATTTGAATACCTTAATACAGTAATTTGTTATTGGATGTGATTTTTCAGCAGCTATAGCGCATCTCTCGTTTTCTATTTACAAAGACCTGCTCCTTGTAAGCTGATAATGACAAGTGGGGCTGAGAAAGGGTCCCTATCCTTATTAATTAATGATCTCACTGAGATTCACTGCCATATGTGTGTGTGTATTATTAATCTCCTCTTTCTATGGCCTAGTTTTTTGTTTAGTCCACTTGAGTATTGGATTTGGGGTTGTTTACTTTAGTCATTGACACATTCATTTCAAATCTAAAACAGAAAAACATACTGTAGCATTTATTTTGTGGGAATGTTGGGTTGTTTTTCAATAATTTATTTGTCTCTAAATAGTGTGTTGTTCGGCTTGTTTATCACTTTTCGTTATTCCTAAAGACCTTCATTTTAAGTAAACTCTGTGTAATAATCATGAAATATCATTGAAATATTACCATTTGCAATCAGGCATGAGATTTGTGTGAGGGCACTTATAGGTCAGCTGAGGTAATGTCAAGAATACTACATTGGTTGTGGCAGCTTATAGTACAGTTTATAGTTACAATGTACACATACATTTAGTCATAAGGTTGCAAAATTTCATTG